AGCTGGTATCCCTTTTTCCTGAGGGCTCTGACAGTGGTGCTCAACAATCACTGTAACAAAAACACTCCCATACTTCTTTTTTTTTTTTTTTTTTAATGTATTTAGGACAGGGTCTACAGGGTCTACAGTGTCTCACAGACTTGTAGGGATTCTTCTGTTTTCAGCCTCCCAAGTGCTGGGATTACAGGCATACATCACCACACCCAGTCTCAATCACTGTTTCAGAGCCAGGGATTGAACCCCAGCTGCTGCGCTCTGCCTCAGTAGGGGCTTTAGTCCGCTGAGCTATCTGGCCAGCTCTTTTTGAGCAATTTCTAAATGTCCTATATGGGAGCAATGCTAAATCCTGGTGACAACTACTGTCTCAAAAGATTCCACAGACATCCAGGACGAGGTTCTATAGGCATTGCTCATAAAAACAAAGCAGTCTCCTCATCAAACCCCACTGGAAATGATACCCTTTAGCTGGAGTGGCTAAATTACCCCCCACCACACACACACACACACACACACACACACACACACACACACACACACAGTGGGATGCTAAGGTATGGCAATGAAAATGAATTGCCAAAGGTAACAAGTACTAAAAAAAGTACAATGATTCCATTTTTAAAAAGTTTGAGATGGGGCATATAGCTCAGCAGCACAAGTGTCTGCCTGCCAAGCACTAGGTCCTCAAGTTTGATTCCAAAAGCGAAGTCTGAAATGGAAAAAATGAAATGATAATTACACTGTGAGATATATACGTAATTTTAAAAGGCACAGATAAATATCTATTTCAAAACAATTTAAAAAGGCATAGATAATTTCAGGACAGTAGTTCCTTTTGGAAAGAAAAGAAGGGTATACCATTGAGGAAACATAGAAACAAAATTGTTGTTTATTAAGTTTAGTAATGGATACACTGTACAAGTTCTATGAGATGCATAGTGCAATTTTTAAAAAGCTAAAATAAAACTTTCTATGTAATATGTTAACAGGCAAAAGCAGATATAAAGATTTGAGTTAAGGGCCATGCTGTGGTACCTTTCCCTGTCTGGTATCCCTATTAATTTTGAAATGGCAGAGGAATTAGTGAAGCTGCTTACCTATAGCACCAGTCCTGCATTATAATCTTGCAAAATCCTTTTAATGCCTCTTAACTTAGACCTGTCTTAGGTCGTTTTCAAATAGAATGAGATCACAGTTAAGTAGAAGACTAAAAAAGGAGGCATCATGTTCCAGTTAGCCAAACTAGTACTCTATACTAAAACCCAAATCTTTCATCTTTCATATTTGGCAATAAGTTTATAAAATATATTCTCATCTATCATAAATAATTTTAATGAATATTTATCATGTAATAGACCCAAGAAGTAAAAAGATAGGTAAAATATATAGTTCTTGCTCTTAATAACTTACTATCAAAAAACAAAAAGCAAGGGCAGGCCAAACAGCTTAGTGGATTAAAGCACCTGCTTAGGCAGGTGCCTGCTGGCCCCACCCCCGGGGCACACGGAGACTCTATTGAGTCTGGGTGTGGTGGCATGTACCCATAATCCCAGTGCTTGGGAGGCTGAAAACAGGAGAATCACTATGAGTCCAATCTACGTAGTGAGACCATGTACTAAATAAATAAAACAAAAAAACTTCACTACCTAGGGATAGGCATGCACATGAGTGGTATGCACATGTGTATGCACATGTGTGTTAGAGGAAAGATGGAGGAGGATCTATGAGTAAATAGGTATGGATTAAGAGCAATTAGGATTGCAACAAATTGAAGGATGAATACGGAGATTGTCAATTCAAGGTAAGTTACTTTGATGTAAGTATGAGGAATTTCATAGGCATACTTTGGGGAAAAAAATAAATTCCAGAGAAAGGAGACCAACACAAGCACTGAAGAAAAGCCAGGGAATTGGAAGGCATAAGCTGAAATATATGAGGTGGGGAAGGAAATGCCCACTGAGGAGTTCAGTGTTTGATCCTACAGCAAAGGAACAGAAGGGATGCAAACAGCACATCTGATTTTTAAGCATGGATTGGTAATAAGATGGCCAAGGGGCAGGGAACATGGTGTGGAGACTCTGATGTGGAGCATCAAGACAGAAAATAGCCAGGGCAATCCATAAAAGAGACCCAAAAAGTGTAATAACAGGACAGAGAGATGAGGACAAATGTCAGCTGTTGAAACAATTAAATATAGCAATGGCAAAATGAATGTGATAAATGGGAAAGAAAAAGTTACTAGAATTGAGACTCCAAGGAGAGGATACAAAAGTAAAAGATTGTAAAGAAGGGAATGCTCAGATACGTGGAATGACAAAGCACATGTGGAACAAGGAGTCACCATCCACTTTCTAAGGGCTGGGGAGATAGCTCAGTAGAATAAGCGCTTGCCTAGCAAGCACAAGGTCCCGAGTTCAATCCCCAGTACTGAAAAAAATCCAAAAAAAAAAAACAAAAAACAACCATACAAAACAAAAAAAAACCACCATCCACTTTGTAAACAACCAATGAGGAAGTAACTAAGCTGGCCGCCGAGCACTTTCAGTGAAGTGTAGACAGAAGAGGCCTACCAGAGGCGAGCTCAGACAGACAGTGCCGCCTTGTGAAGGGACACAGCTGTCTGTAGAGCATCTGAGAATCAAGTATTCAGATGGAGGCTTAAACATGCTCCTGGGCTCAATGAAGAGGCTGGAAATACGGGAAAAACAGGGTTACAGATGGACAAAGTCCCAGAATAGATAAAAATGGATATCACTGAATAGGCAGTGAAACTGTACAAAACATAATAGGAAGCTTTCTTATTGTGAGACAGAGGCACCTGGACGAAAGACTTCATTTGACAAATATTTATTGAACATATGCCAGATGCCAGTTACTCTGCAAAGAGCTGGGGGATAAAAGATGCATAAGTCAATCCCTGACTAAGAGTTTAGTTTAGTGGGCAAAAGAAGTGTGTTCTAAGCACAAATATGTGGAGATGAGAAGCGCAGTGTAGTAACACAGAGGTCAGAGGAAGTGGTACAGTGTGATGCAGCACCTGCACAGTATCTGCTTGTGAAGTACAAGGTGAAAATATCTGTCAGGTGGTGGAGGGGCACGGTGGGGTCAGGAGATGTCAGGCAATCTGAGGAAAACAATAAATGCTCACAACAGTTGCCAGATAATAAAACAGCAACTTATATTTAAGATATACTAGGGCCCAGGGACTTCAAAACAATCCTATCATTTTCATTTTGCTAGTGAAACAACTGACACCTGGAAATTAAATCCTGAGAGACACCAAAGACTATCCTGAGATTAGAAGCTCTATTTTTGTAGCAGCAAAAATTCACATAATTGAGTCATTTCTCCTTTGCTGTGCTTCTCAGTCCAAGAATGCAACTGATTCAGGATTTATGTTTACAAAGACAAAAGAAAAGGTGTAACACAAGAGTAAGAGAAATGGGGAGTAAAATAGATGGAGAAATGGGTAAGAAGGCAATTGAAGTAATTAACCATTCTGCAGTTTATGACTCAAGGAAATGAAGTTTAAGCAGATGGACACTTGAGGGATGAAGGAATCAAAGAGCTTCAGAATATTCAGCAGAAGAAAGAAAATGAAATACCAAGTTGAGACAGAATCAATTTAAAGTAATGGGGGATTGTACAATGATGCCAAGGGCCAGAACAGGCCATTAAACTGAATTTAAGAAAACCATCAGTCAAACTAGATGTTATCACACAATTAGTAAACAATAAATTTCAACAAACTCAGACCTATCTCCAATTTTGATGTCATTTTTATTATTCTGAAGATGCCTATGTACTTCACAAGCCCTTATCAACATTTTGGCTATATTTCTTTCCCAGTGTTTCAGTGGTAGCTCGGTTTAAAAACTTAAGATGCTGAGGAAGATGGCTGTGTTTGTGGTGGGAAGATGGTCATCGTTATGCTTTCAGCTGATATGGACTTTGCAGAGGGAAGCAAACTTCTGTGGAATGCTTTTGTTTACAGACTGAACCATTTACAAACAGAAGTGTTTATGAACTGAGATATTACTGTACTTCCTTGCCTTGTTAAACAGCATGTGTATGGACTTAGCCTTTTCTTAATGACTTTTAGTAGCTACTCTTACCATCACCTTGTGGTAGATGAGTACTTCGCTAGTTGAGGACTCTTTAATCTCTTCTTTTGAGGTAGCTCTTAATTTTCATGGCTGTTCAGTATTCCTTTTACTACTTTAATTTGCCAAGTGGAACAAAATGTTTCCAAGAACTGTGTAATAAACTCACAAAAGCTTAATTTCATACCTAATGCTATGTCGAGGGTAAGGATGGTTTTCTTTCTTTTCTATGAATTAAAGACAAGGGGTTGCGGCGGCACGTCTATATTTAACTAGAAGAGATGACTCTGAAGTTGTTTAAAATATTGGCTACCTACAGTTCCAGCAAGTACATTTCCAAAATCCTCAAACTGGGATTGAAATTTCCTACTGCCTAAAGCAATGGAGACAAACCTACAGCATGTCTGTTATTTGCTTTTATTTTAAGACTAAAGATGTTAATGTTTGAGTTACTTTCTCTATAGTAAAACCTCAGTACTCTGTCAGGTTTAATTGCAATGTTGGCATTTTGTGATAAACAAATGGATTTGGGGCTGCAGTTTTCTTAACTGCTCTCTAAAAGATCTGCCACTGCTTAGACAGGTGCAGGGACTGGGGTTAGATTCGTGTGTGCTGTGCTGGCCCGCCCCCAGGGTGCGCTGAGATGGCAACTGAGACTGGGCGTGGTGGTGCACACCTGTAGTCCCAGCTCTCAGGAGGCTGAAAATAGGAGGATCACTAGGAATCCAATCTGTGTAGTAAGACTCTGTAGTCCCTGTACTAATACATTAAAAAAATAAATAAGAGATCTGCCATCACTGTCCTAAACCATTATAAAAAATGACTTTTCTTAACATGAAATACTTCTCATCCTTTTTGCGATTTATAAAAAACTTACAGTGAATATCTATTGCTCATTACCTCTTTTTTTGCTTCTTTTTTAGGATCATAGTCACTATCATTTCCATCCACTGGGTGTGTTTCTTCCACATCATCATCACTAAGAAGGAAAGATTGGTAAACTCAGTTACTTTTATTTTTATTCTAGTGCACCTATCAAACTATAATATTACTTCTAATAATTTTACTAAATATTCCTTAGCAGAACAAGAAATATTAGGAAAGAGTAAGTTATATTTCTATAGTATTTAGAAACATCTTTTAGGGTTTACAAAATCATTTTAGCTAACATTTCTAGCTAAAAAATACTTAATGGGAAAGAGATTTAGAAAAAATATTGTTTGAGAAAGAGAACACAAACAGTTTAAATAACACTTATAATTTTGCTTCTTTAGTTGAAGAGTATAAAGGCAGACAAAACCCAGCCAACAAATGATTTTACACTACCAGGGAAATATAGCTACAATCATGAGGACTTCAGTTACTCAGGTAATTGTGGGAATGACCCCTTCCACAATAGGGTTTTCAATATATTCTACATATATGTATTGCCTACACCAATACTAAATAGAAACATGAATTATAGTTGGAAGAGTTTGAGGAGAGTTCTTACTATTAAGACTTTTGACCACTTGGCTTTTTCCTGGCAGAGCAGACACAAATATAGAATAGGAAGAATTTACAGTGTGTTGTAACAATTTTTGCGCCTTATAAAATATAAGCAATCCAATGCAATGTCCCTCACACTGTAACTAAACAGAGGGATCCAACCTACCTGTCACCCTGATTATGTCTATTGGCTAGTTTACGAGCCTGGCGATCCATTAAACTTGTCCTAGAGCGAGTTTTTTTCCAAGAATAGTAATATTTTACAAGGCTTGCAATTGTCTTATCTGGAAGCTTTAAAAAAATCATGTTAACATTAGCAGGATTAATTCATTAAATTCTAACAAAACGAATAATATTCTTTGATAATAAAAACATAAATGGAAACTATTTGATAGGTACCTTTATGAATTATAAGAGATAGAAAGTACTGTGACAATAGTTACAGCACCCCAATACACCAATGTCATTCCTATTTCTGAACTTGTATTACTATCTATTCTGGGGAGAAGAAGAGGCTGTCACTAGCTCCCAGCATAGCAATGTTAGTACTCAATATTCCTTTCCTTCAAGAGCTATTCAATTCCCAGTTGCCAAATAAACTGGAATTTTGAGATATAGTTTGGACATCATAAAATTTACTGCATAAAGTGTACAATTCAGTTGGTTTTAGTACACTAAGTTGTACTGTTACATCTAATGCCATATTTTCATAATCTCAAAAAGAAACTCCATGGCCAGCCAGATAGCTCAGCGGATTAAAGCACCTGCTTAGGCAGATGCAGGAACCTGGGTTCGATCCCCTGGTGTGCTGTGCCAGCCTCACCCTGGGGATACACTGAGCCAGCTACTGAATCTGAAGGTGGTGGTACACACCTGTAATCCTAGTGCCTGGGAGGCTGAAAACAGGAGGATCACTACGAGTTTGATCTGTGTAGTGAGACCCTGTAGACCCAGTACTAAATATACTAAAAAAAAAAAAAAAAAAAAAAGAAAGAAAGAAAGAAGGAAAAAAGAAACTCCATCCTACTTGCCATTCCCCAAGTCTCTGACAACCACTAATTTACTTCTGTCTCTGTAGATTTAATCTGGAGACTTCATATAAATAGAATCATACTGTACGTGGTTTTTTGAATCAGGCCTCTTTCTTTTTACGTGTTTTGTGCAGGATCTCACTACACAGCTTGGACTCATAGTGATCCTCCTGTTTTCAGCCTCTCCAGTGCTGGGATTACAGGCATGGGCCATCAGGCCCAGATTCCATGGCTGGTTCAGCATGCCTGGGGTTGGGGCTGGCACGGCATGCGGTACCAGGGATCGAACCCTGGTCCCTGTGTGTGCCTGAGCAGGCACTTAGTCTGCTAAGCTATCTCACTGGCCCTCAGGCTTCTTTTACTTAGCAAAATGTTTTCAAGAATAGCTAGTCTATTCTCTCTTTTTTAATTAAATAAATTTTTAAAATCTGATTTAAATCTAGGTTTTAGGATGACAAATAATACAAAGAGACTTTAGCTACCAAGTAAGTCTCCGTGTGTTAAAGTAACTAACAATCATGTACTCATCAGTCATACTAGCAAATGACACAAATTCCCTAACAAAATGTTGTCTTCAATCACAGAAGCTACCTAGAAGTATATGTAAACATTATCCAATTTTTATGTATTCTGGTTAAATTAGTATAATATGGTAACTTCTCAGACATATTATTTTGATAAAATTTTAAACATTTAAGAACTAGAAATACAGAACAGTAATTTTTCTTAATCAAAACAGCAGTAATACCTGAACAACCCTGAAACAATACAGAATCTTTTAAATGGGCTTTCGTATTAAAAAAAATATATATAAAGAACCAAATCCTAACATCCAAAAATGAAACAAAAATAAAGTTGAAATTATGATTTTTTTTCTGGAACAAATATTTAATAACTATATGACACACATTTTTCTCAAAAATTATGTCTCACCACTCATGAATGATCATAAAAATAGAACTGTATGAAAATAATTACAGCTATTTCAATATATTTTTTAAAATTAAGGTCAAACTGGAAAACTGCTTCACATTTAATAATTTGTAAATACTCAATAATAATATAAGATATATTACAAAAGACTAAAATCATCATACCATTTGTTGAATCCTGTGAAAGCTCTTCCCATGAAAGCTAAAGGCTTGCTCAAACAGGACTTTATCTTCCACTGTCCACTCATCCGGAAAGGGAGTGAAATTAGGGAGATCAGCAAGGGACTTCTCAATGTTATGTTTATGCCAGAACAGCATGCCAAGTGCCTTTGAAGAGAAATCATTCCCCTTGGTTTGAATGGACTTTTATGTTCTACTAAGTTCAACATGAAGGTCACAAAGTACCACACACATCAGATAAAAATTTTAAGCCTGACTTCAACTTAAGATAAAATTTATCTTGAGACTTGTGATCAGGATGCTCACATAGCAGACAATATTTATTTCTTTCTTTTAAGTCAGGGGCTCAAACAATCAATGTATATACATATCAGACTGCTACAGAATTCAGGAAAAACAAAAGTATGGTATAACTTTCATTATTAATTTGCCAGTGTGTAGGGAAAAATATGCTAGAAAGAAAATACCCAGTAAATTAACACTTGAATGAAACCATCAGTTACAACAAGAAATGCTCAGTTGGGATGTGCTAGAGAAACTACAGTTTCATTAACCTTTCAGAAGAATACTGGAGGTTAAATACTTCTAAGAATTAAAAGCATTTAACCACTAGTAGCTACTAGTGCTACTTTAACAATATTTCACCACGTACACTTTTTTATTTTTATATAGTGTAATACATAGACTCACTAGAAAGCATGCAAGTAACTTTGATAACTTGTTTTCCAAGTCGTAAGAAAACCTGACATGGTCAATTTCCGAAAATTCCATACTTTCCCCTCTATTGCAAACACGTTTTTATCTTTACTATAGGGACTTAATTATCATTTAGAGGATAACCTTTTGTTCTTAAAAAAATAGTACTTTTAAGTAGTGAGTTTGAAAGTGAATTTCAATATCAGATCTTTATAATAAACATGAGAATGACCATATATGCAATAACATTTAAATATATATATATATATATATATATGTATTTATTTGGTACAGGGTCTCGCTATGCAACTTGGACTCATAGTGATCCTCTTGTCTCAGCCTCACCAGCACTGGGATTACAGGTGTGTGCCACCACACAGTTTCAGGGCCAGCACAGAGCATCCAGGGTTCTGGGGCCGACACAGCACGTGGTACAGGGGAGCAAACTTGGGTCCTTATACTGCCAGGCAGGAGCTAAGATGGCTGAGTTATCTCCCCAGCCCACAACCACATTTTAACTTTGTCTCAAATAAATAGTAACAAGAACACAAGGCTTAAAAACAAAATAGTTAAAGGCTTCAAAATCCACAGGAGAAAACCAAATACCTTAATTTCATAAAAATGGTATTAGTTTACAATGTTACTAACATGGTAGCTCTTGTTAACCTTTCTTCTCTTAAAACAAATTATCTATTTTATTACTAATTGTGATCAAGTTTGAGATGATACTTAGTGGAAATAAGATTTAATGTTAGAGTTCAGTAGTGTGTGCCTGTAATCCCAGCTACTCAGGAGACTAAGGCAGGAAGACTGCTTCAGCCCAGGAGTTCAAGGCCACTCTGGACAACACAGAGAAACCCCTGTCTTTAAAAAACTGAAAAAAGTTTCTCTACATACCTGTTCAACATTATAGCCATGTTTCTCCTTTGCAATTGCAATATATTCATCCACTGTAATGAAAATGTTAGGTAATTATTCTCACTTAAATTATTCTCATTTGCCCAGATCTACTTTTTTAAAACATGGCAAAATAATGTACTTTATTATTCCAGGGGTAAAGAAAAAACAAAACAAAAAATCCAAACCCATCTTTCAGTAAATGTTACAAAAAGGCACATTTGAACAGGATCTGAAGTATTCCCCTGAATGAACATGTTATTTATTACAACATTTCTATGGCCACATATCATATACTCACTAATGCAATGATATAATATAATAATTATTTTTTTATATGGAAAAAGACCAATCCTTGATTATATAATAAACCTAGTTACAGTATACGACACTAAGATAATTTCATTTGTTAGTTAATAGTCTTTATTAAAGACTCTTTTTCATATTTACAGTTTAATTTTTCTAGTATAGTCTTTAAGTTATTTAGCTACTTGATATCCTTTCTCATATATATTTATTTATTTATTTTTGTATTTTAGGGAAGGGTCTACAGAGTGTTCAGGGTCTCACTACTAGATCAGACTCGTAGTGGTCCGCCTGTTTACAGCCTCCTAACAGCTGGGATTGCAGGTACGTACCACCACACCCAGTCTCTCATATTTTAGAGTTGGCTTAAAGCCTATATTTTGTATGCTGATTGCTATACAAAAGATTATTTATCTATAATTTTGCCTGCTATATAGAATGATACACTTAAATATGCTTCAGTATCCCAAAAAATTTCTTCAGCTCCTCTTACTACTATATGAACAGTGCTTATATATATGTGAATTTTTTTTTGGCTGGCTCAGGCTAATTTAAGGGTAGGTCTGATAATACAGGTTGAGGTGGGGATGAAACCACGGTATCCTGTGCTTGACTGCATTTGCATGAGCAGGCACCTAAACAACTGAGCTAACCAGCAGGCCGCTTAAATATGTTACTTGCAGTTATCCTACCTATGTAATTAAGCCAACAAAACAATTCAGATAAGCAGTATTATTGATGATATACTGGCAATGCAAACCTTCACTGCTCAGGAGTCTGGTACATTTAGAATCTAGTTTTATGTGAAGTCCACAAGACAACTCCTTAATCCTTTAAAAATTATTTTATACATATATAAAATACAAACATAAAATAATTTTTAAAACATGTCTGAGAAGTAATGGTTTAAAATTGTGATTCTGAAGCACATGGTGTACTCAGACTTGATTTTCTGCTTGTTACTAGTTTACTTTGGTGGAGTAACTTGATATTTTTATACCTTAGTTCCCTTGCTCTAGCATGATGATTAAGTGATACCTTCCTCTTATGATCACATGAATTAATATGTAAGTGTTCAGAACAGCACCTGGCACCTTTTAAGTACTTCTAACTACCTGTTACTACTATTTGGTCAGTATAGCTTAGTGCACGAGTGTGCTATAACAATATGCTCTTAGAAGAGCACCTATTTTTATGGATGTTATTAATCTTCCAAAATGTAAGCTTTTGATGCAGAAAATCCAATTAATACATTTTGCTTAGAATCCACAGTACTTAATTAAATACATAACAGGATTAAATATATGGCAATTAATTTAAAATTTAATGAAAGTATCTTATAGGCCTACAGATAGAAAAGCTAAACAATACTACCTGACCAGTGGTTCTCAATCCTGGCTACACATAAGGAACAGTGTGGGAGCTTTTAAAAATCCAGACACCCAGGCTTGACCTTTGGAGATGCAGATTGAGTTGGTTTGAGAGAAAGACTACACATCAATACTTTTTAAAGACATTTCCCCAAATGATTCCAACATACATACAGCCAGGGTTGAAATGTTTGCCCAAGATCTTTATTCCACATGGACACTATACTACTGTTACATGTTAGCTTCTTGAATTTTGTTTTCCAACTTGCTATGAAATGCATTATTGTATAAAATGAAACTAAAACAGCCAAACTCAAAGGTAGCCCGTTGCTCCCTTTGTGATGAAAACCTTTACCTGTAATAACTGGACCAAAAACCCAAGTCTCCTTCTGATTCTCAGTACACAGTCCCAGGCCAAATGAACAATTTCAAGTTTTTTGTTAATGCCTCTACGACACAGAATTTCTCAATTACCTGCTAGAGTCTAGCTAGTGTTCTAAAACTCTTCAAGAGGGACAATCATCAGGTATTGAAAAGTGTACTAAGTTTTGAAGTTTTAGTTTCTTGCTGCATCAACAAGCATTAGATTTACTACACACATGATATACAGGACATCATTAATTTTCCTGAAACTACACAAATAATAAATAGACATCTTTAAGATTCAGGAAATATTTTTAAAAGAGAAACTTATTTTATGGCTGCCAGAATGCTGGCTTCATGTTGTTGATGCTGTTATTTAATAAACTCACTAATAACTGAGTGGAGGGTGGGAATCTTAGGTGCTGTTACCTGCAGGTTTCTTATACATGATGTGCCACAAAGGATCAGGTCCACTTTGTCACACTGAAGTTTAAGCCACACCATGAGTCAAGAGATGCAAGGTCAGTGAATCAGAAGGTCTCCGGGCAGCAATGGAGAGCACGAAGATGACCTGATGGCTACTGAAGTCAGCTCCTTCCCCTTTCCTCTTTAAAATGGTAATGCTAGTGGGCTTGCCGAAGTCTGAAGGCATTTGTTTACAGCTCCACAGATTGAGCACAATCTTGTGCAAATGGCTATACAGTCACCTGCTGCTGGTTGAGGGTTTAAGCAGCAAGGCCACCAGATCCTATCTTTTTTTTTTTTTAATTCTCCATAAGCCTGACACAAATTGGGATGATAAACCCTCTATTTTCTGAAAGTAAAAAAACATCCTAACAACCTCTATTCAACAACAAAAACATAAAATTGTCTTATGAGAATCTAAAAGATTCAAAAACAAATATACATTGTACACTGGTTGGCTCATAGATCGTTTTTGACCTTAACATTCAATCTCAGAAAACTTACATTTGGCATCTGGGATACTGTGATAGGGAGACCATACAAGCATCCCTCCATTGTCTTTATCTGTGTACTTCGTAGCACCTGAGGAAAAAAAAAAAACAATTACTTTGAATATGATGGATTTGCTTTCAAGCAAAATAGTATCAAAGTTAAGTTTCATATGTCCAAGTACAGTACCTGCAAAGGACAAGACAGCATAAGAAAACAGAAAGGAAACAGACAAAGACGGCAAATATTCTACTTCTGAAAATTAAGGAAATTTTTGCAAATACTGATGCTTACCCACTGTTACAATTTATATCCAGATGCCACCCAAAGCCTCACACAGTCACAGGTCAGGTTTCTGAAAGGTGGCTAGACTGAGGGTGCACAGCTGACAGCTGTTGGGAGCTAGGGTCTGGCCAAAGAGGTGAGTCACTAAGGCCATGGGCCCTGTGTATCTCCCACCTAGCTCTTCCCTTCACTCCTGTTTTCCTGACTGCCAAGTGGGCATACAACTTTCTTCTGCCAGACCCTTCCATGTTTTCTTGCCATGGAACTGCCCAACTGCCTACTAAAAGCACGACCCAAAATAAACCATTCCTCCTTTGAGTTGTGTCAGCCATTGTGTCCCAGCAAGTGGCAGACAGAGCAGTGATTCAAATTCTGTAGTCTAACCACGGCACTAAAAATACTGTTCATTTCTGCAAACATCAGCAAGGAAAAAAATGACAAAGATACCAACTTTAAATTTTTTTTTTTTTTTTAAGTGTTATCAGTACAGGGTCTAGAGTCTCACTACACAGATTGGACTAGTAATGATCCTCCTGGTTTCAGCCTCCCAAGAGCTGGGATTACAAGTGTGTGCCACCACACCCAGTGTCATTTGCTGGCTCAGCCTGCCCCAGGGGAGGGAGGGCGGTAGGGTACATTGGGATCAAATCCTGGTTCCTGAGCCTGCCTAAGCAGGCACATTAGTCTGATGAACTCTATGGCAGGCGCCAGGACACCAACTTTAAAGACAAAACTTTCTTAAGAACATTACAAACCTATACTTCTTGAGGTGAGCAAATAAATCTAATATTGCCTTCTACATGTTACTTAGGAATCCTGGTTAAAAATTCTAACCAGTTCAACTACAGAGATGGCCAGGAATATAGCTGAGTGGCACAAGGGTCTGCCTGGCAAGCATAAGCTCCCAACTTCTAGCCCCAGTACAAAAGCCAAAAACAAAACAAAACAAAACAAACAAACAAAAAACTACTAAGACTACCTCATGGTTTTGCCCTGCACTTAAAAAGGCCAAGATTGCTGTAATTTTTAAATACCGATGTCTGCTTTTATCTTATTCCTTGATAAATGTGTCAACTATTTCTTTTTAAACTTTACTACATTTCACATTTATAAGTCAAAGACATGAATTAATAATTTCTTTTAAATGTAATCTGAAAGAATACATTTAAATACAAAAGTATATACCACTTTTTAAGGCTGGCCAGATAGCTCAGCAGACTAAAGTGCTTGCTTGGCAGAGTGCAGTGGGTGATGTTCAATCCCCACGTGTTGTGCTGGCCCCGCATCCTGGGCGCGCTGAGCTAGAGACTGAGACTGCATGTGGTGTCATGCACCTGCAATCCCAGCGCTTGGGAGGCTGGAAACTGGAGGATCACTATGACTCCAATCTACATAGTGAGACCCTGTGGACCATGTACTAAATACAAAAATAAAAAGATAAAAGTCTGAAAATTCTCTATTAATTTAAATTAAGAAACAGAACAAATCAATACTGCAACCTCACAACACATATGTCTATAGGTTCTATCTTTTAAGTACAAGACTTCTACCTAATTCTACCTAATTCTTAGCTGCAGGTTATTTAAAACTATGGACAAGCACTGCTGCCATATGTTTTAAGACAACCAGCTTATGAATATGTCATAACTGACTTATGAGGTACTGGAAGAATAGCCAAAATTCCAAAACCGTTCACATAAAACATTAATAGAATTAAGGTTAAACTATGTTTTTTAAAAAGTTATAAGGAATTTGGAACAAAGAATATTCATTTCTAGGGATAAACTAGTACTGTAATATCCATATTGAAAAATTATATATTAGGCAGTAACTTAAGTCAGTGAAATATGAAGACATTTTTTAAACATGTTTTACAATAAGGAAAAATAAGGAGGAAAGAAAAGAAAAATGATCAAAGTACTTGAAAAACCATAATTACAAAATAAATGTAAAAAAGCTGAAAATCTTAAGTGTACGCTCACAGTTGATTATCTAAAATTTGTTCAATGAAAAACTTGGAAATGGCACTTAAAACCTCACTATTAAGATATATGTGTTTAATATTTTATTATGTTAAAAAATACAAATTGGCCAACTGACTCAATGGAAATAAAACAAATGTTATCTGAGTTGGTTACAAGCTTCTACTTAACAAAAAATGTTATTTCTACTGAATATCCTGTCAATCGTTTCACATAGAAATATTTTTGCATAACAGATTGTCATAATAACATCCCTCAAATCTTACTTAACAGAATATACCAGTAATGAAGAAAGCTTCCCAGTAAGGCTCAAGTCTTAGAAGCAATCATAATAATCTAACCTATTTCCTCGCACCTCATTCTTGAATTACAGTAAGTCTGAATTAAAACATCTCATGAAATCCCTTTTCTTAAACATGCATTTCAAAAAAAAATTCCTATAAAGAACAATGTTACATTTCAAAAAAAAATTTCTGTGATTAAGGGCCTGACTGACAGAAACTGGCCCCTAATTCGTGGGGTCTGGCAGCTCTTCTAACACTGGAGCACATAAGGGTAGAAGGCAAGCCTGGGTAAGAGCAAAGAATGCCTAGTTAAGCATTTTGCAATGTTCTTCACCCCAGCACCAGCATTTTCAATTATGTATGTGTCACCTGGGCCCAAGAGACGACTGATGTTGCAGAAATGAACAATATTTTACAGTTATGTTAAGAATGCGGATTAGAGTCAGACTACCAGAACCTGAATCTCTTCTGAACTTATGTGTAAACATAAGAATTAAATAATTCTTTATGCCTGTTTTTAAAATATATTTTAATTTTTAAAATGTTTTTTCATCATATTCTGTAGCGACTTAAAGTTCAACATATCAATACTTGATGAAAAATACCTGTTCCATGTTATGCCTAAGATGTTTGATATGCAGACAGATAGTGAGGTTAAGCTTCACAGCCTAGGTTGTATGGTAATAACAATAAGCTTGTCTTCTGAATGATTAACAACCTAAGTTTGCAGACCAAAATTAGAGAAAAAGGAGGGCCGCAAGGAAAGCCAACATTTTGGCCCAAGCCTTCCAAGGTCAATTAAGACTCAGGACATATGAGAACTTGTACTGCAACATCATGTAACTCGGTAGTGTCCCAAATTTCCTGATCAAGGAGATTATGGGGTCAAAGAGGAAAGTGATCGATGGTGTAGAGTGTGCCGAAGGAGAGTCACATGGAGAGAAAACATTCTCTCAGGCTTTCACAGAGAGCACACTGACCAAGCAATGGCCGTGACTCATTCACATGGCTGATACTGACAAAGGATCTACAATCTGAGGTACAGGATCTCAGGATAAATCCTGAGGGGATTTGACTGATCTTATCAGATCCAAAAGCTACAACTCTTGTTGCATAGGTCTTGCTTTATCTTGGTCTTAACTATCCAGCAGAAAAGTATAAAAACAAAGTATAAGAAGTAAAGCCATGCTGTTATGTTGAGCTATAGGGGACTCAGGTCAACAATTTCTGACATTGCCAGTCAAGAGGAAGACCCAATACTATTAAGGACTACTGGACTCTTTTAGAATATTTTGCTGAGTTAACATACCTATAATATTCAAATGACGGAATTAAACAAAAAAGGGGATACAGATGAATGCCCATTTTGTATCTGTGTATTCAAAATGTTTAGGACAGATATATAGTTACATTCTGTTCATGAATAGAGAGATTTGTTGTAATAGTGTTTGCAAATAGGATATCATGTCTGCATCTTGTACAGCAAATAACCACTAGGAAGAGTATGCAATGTGTGAATTATTGAAACTGTCCTACCAATTTGATTTGAAACTGTATCATTGCTATTTATCTCTCAATAAAATTATGGGGAAAACCCCCCCCAGAAAACCTGAATCCCAGCTCTTCCACCTGTTGCTGCATCACTTTGGATAAACCGAGGTAATCAGTCTGTGCCACAGCTCTCATCTCTACAAACAGTGATACCAGTATTTATTCTACAGAGTTGCCAAGAAATTACCCAAGATGAACACTATATAAGACGTTATTAATATACTCCAAATATATCATTAAAATATAGACTATTTTCTTATGTTTCCTCCTTTCTACATAATGGAAAACCTTATCAATTAAATAAAATAAATTAATGAAATCTCATAGGGCTCTAACTTAAATGGCTCTCTCATATAAAGCCTTTAAAGGTGAGACTGAATAGCTGAAATGACCTTTTTGTTTTCCTGATAATTCAGATCATATTCCTCTCCCATAAGATTAAGAGAATTATGATGTAGGATGCTTTATATTCAATAAACTTACCCTTTCCTGGTATAAAAGTTGAAAGGAACTTAAATATTTAAAGGAGATAAACACAATGTTTATGTTTTATCTATTACAATATTTAACATGCTGTCTCAACATTGTCTGATACTCAGAAGTAATACTGAAAATGAAATCTGCTTCACCAAGTATCTATCTTCTGAATAGGTAAAAACAAATCAAGGGCCGGCCAGATAGCTTGGCAGACTAAAGCACCTGCTGCCCCCAGGGCGCAATGGAGACTGGGCATAGTGGTGCACGCCAGTAATCCAATCACTTCGGAGGCTGAAAACAGAGGAATCACTACAAATCCAATCTGTGTAGTGAGACCCTGTAGACCTTAATAATAGATTGCCCTGTCCTAAATACATTTAAAAAAAAAGGAAACAAAACCCCCAAAATTTGTATGGTGAGCTACAATAATTTTAAGACTTGTTTAATCCCTTTGAAATCTTTTAAGTCTCTTTTGACTGCAGCTAGCAAAGTACATTTATGAAACAACTGAGGATAACCAATTACTAAGAAAGAAAAACTCTGTCAGCTAAGATTTCTATACCAACTGCAAATTTTGAAGTACAAAAATAAAATCTCACAACTTTTTAGATTCTGTTTAAGGCATTTAAAAGGATTTTAATGAAGGTCAGAGAATATACAAATGTAAAGCACTGAGAATGAGATGCTCCAAGTTTTAAAAATTCTATTTACACAATAGGCTCTAATTTATATACTTAATAGATTTATTTCAAACTGGGATAAACTGACTTTTGCAGAGTACATGGCAAGAATAAGTTTTTTGCTTTTTTTTTTTTTTTTTGTCTTTTGAGACAGGGTCTCACTACGCAGTTCAGACTGGCCTTAAGTTCACTCTGTAGTCAGGTCTGGTTTCAGACTTGCAATGATCCTTCTGCCTCAGTCTTCCAAGGGCTAGGATTACACATGTGCACTACCATGACTGGCATGAGTAAGGTTTTTTTTTTTTTTTTTTTGGCAGAACCGGGGATTGAACTCAGGCCCTTGTGCTTGCCAGGGAAGCGCTTATTCCACTGAGCTAACTCCCCGGCCCCCCTGGCATGAGTAAGTTTTAAGTGAATCAATTTTTAGACTTTCAGCTTTCCTGTTTTCTTTCTCAAAACAATCTTCTCAACAACGTGTAAGGAATCTAAACTATACAGTAGCTTTATTTGAGGTACACTTCACATGGTCAACTGTGACCCAAAAATTTAAATGGAAAAATCCAGAAATAAGCAACTCATCTGTTTTAAATTACACACAAAAACATGGAATGTCACACAGCCCCACAGGAATTGTCTCTTTGCCCTGTACACCCATGCTCTGTGTACTATCCTGATAGGCACTTTGATTATCAGGCCAATTTAGTGACACTTTGGGGTAGGATCCAGGTAATTCTTACTTTATTCAGTGACTGGCCCGAAGTACTGGAGCACAGTGCTAATGCCTGGGAACACACAACTGTGAAGGGTCACAGCATCTCCCCAGTGAAAAGTTCAGCTTCTTCACTTAAGGAGGCTTCCTTAATCTGTGTAAGCTGTGAGCATCCCTGTGGTTTCAGGAGGTCTGTGCATGCTCAGACCACTTCTGTCATCCCTCTCACCTGAATGTGACATTTCTTATCCCTTCTAAGTCTTACAAGAATCCATTGCTCACAAGATTTAAAAGCTCCAGAGCTCCAAACAGTGTCAATAAAGCCCTTCTATACTCAAGACACCAGAATTGCTATGGTTTTAACCTTTTATGAGTTGATTGAAAATTAATTCAAGCAAAGTAATTCTAACACTTAGAAATTATGGTCACAAGAATACATTAAGGAAACTTGGGATAAAGCAGAAAAGTTGGGCAGGTGATCAATGAAGCACCTTTAGGCACACAAATATATTATGGAAGTTAAAAGTTCTGTGACAAAAACATGGAAATGATTTCAAAGACAAAAGGAATGATGTAAAAAAACTTTCACTCTTGAGAAGCCTACCTAAATATTTTATGGAGTAGACATTATTACATCACTGTAATGTTTATATTTAACAATAATATAATAATACAACAGCCTTATTGCAAGTGTTTATTCTACTGAGCTATCTCCCCAGCCACCAAAATGCTAGTATCTTTAATGTACCAGAGATTACATTCTTTAAACTCAGTTGACAGATGGCAACTTGAAAATATGAGAATTTTTTCTTAAATTCGCTTATGGGTAAGCCAAACTCCTGCTTTGTATACATTAATTTTCAATTAATCCTGTGATATAGTTAACATCATCTCCCTTTTAAGAAGTAAGAACAAGAGCCTGGAGAACCTGGACAGTTCCCAGAAGGCAACTATGACCCTTGCTGAAAAGCACAGTGACAGAGTGACAGTTAACCATCATAAAAAATTTCTTCCCGAGACTAGGACAGTCAGTAGGCATTAAAAACAAAGTTAGGAAGAACTGTTAAACAACCCCGGTAACAACCAGAAATCCAGCTAGTAAATTATAACGACATTAGTAGTAATGACCTGTTAATAAAGGAAAGTATCTCTAATTCCAACATCAGTCTCAATTCTCATCAGTTTAATAATTCCTTCTTTATATGCTCAATTACTACCATAATCACTATCATCTCTTCTAATAAGAATACCCTCCACAAAAAAAATCTTGCTGTAATTTTTCTCCATTCTCATTAAATCATCTTAGCACCTAGGGCATTTTTCTTACAAGTAACTTATAGCACATGGTGAACAATCGCCAAAAAGTTGGGCTGAATGGTTCATGAGACAAAGGGAAAATGGGCAGAAAGAGAGGAACTCTTTCTCAGTTTCTATCACTACTAAATATCTCTCTTCCTCTATTACCTTTTCCTAGATAATGTGTTTCAATTCTCACCTAATTATACTGGAATGACAAACACAAACTCCACAGAATGGTATAACACTCAAAACAGAATAGCAAGTACATTTCCTTATAAAAAATGTCCGATAAACTGGGCACAGGGATACAATCCTATAATCCTAGCACTCTGCTGAGTGAGGCTGGAGGATTACAAATTCCAGTCAGTCAGAGCATAGGTAATTTAGATGGTCTCAAAATAGAAAAATAAATTAAAAAAAAAAAAAGAGTGGAGTTGTAGCTCATTGCAAAAGCCCTGAGTTCAACCTCTAGAGGGGAGTAGGAAGCTAATCTTTTGTTTCATAGACGGGCTATAGTAACAACAGAAAACTTTATTATTTATTTATTCAACTAATTTTATTACTTATTTAACTTTATTATTTATCTAACTTTATTATTTATTTATTTATTTTTGTATTTAGGACAGGGTTACAGGGTCTCACTGCGTAGAGCGGTCTCCTAGTGATCCTCTTGTTGATAGCCTCCCAAGTGCTGGGATACAGGCGTGGGCTGTCTTGTCCCGTCCAACCCCACCTAACTTTAAATCGTAACTTCTAATGTGTTCTTGCCCTGGAGATCATTAAATAGAAAATAAACACATGAATTTGAATACTGTGACAGTTATCCTCATTCCAATAAAGAATATCAATGACAGTGTATTACTTTATTTAAAAACAGTAACATTTCAGTGAGGTTTTATTTTTCACTACAAATTTGTTTAGGTTCAAAATAAGCAAAATAGGATTAAATTGGTTAATTCAAGTGGAGGTCATACACCACCACCTATTTTATTTTATATGAATTATTCTTCAAGTTTCAATTTTTTTTCATGGTTTGGTAACCATTAAATAAAAAAAGCTGGTCTTAAGGCAAGCTCTCCACAGCCTGGCTTTTAATCGGAAGACCTTGATCAATCTGCATATAGTCATCTAGAAATAAATACCGACTAAAACAGACTTAATGGGCCAAAAGAAAGGTATGTTTATTAAGTTATGAAATAATTCTGATGCTGAGTTCTAATTTGGAAATAATTATCAACAGCAAAGAAGTCCACAGTACAATAAAGCTCCAAATCAAAAGGGTACACTGAAAAATCACTTCTCATAGTTAAGACATTTAATCTTTATTGAGTAACTGTCATATACGTCCAATCATCTGATCCTGGCAAAAATCCGACAAACTGTTTTCTCATAAAGACAGGAAAATCGAGGCTCAGGGGAGGCCCCTTATTTGCTCACAGCATCTAGAGTTTGAAGGTGGGAAACAAATTCTAAAATGAAGATAGCTCTTTCCAAACGTCAAGCTAAACCACAAGAAACAAGGTAAGGTCAAGTACCGCTTACTTACTCCACTAAAAGAGAAAAGTAGTTGCAAAAAACATCTGAAATGAGTGAAGACCCGCAGTACACACACCACTGGTCCTTGAGTGAAATGCAGTGTCATATGGGCGGCTGCCTAAGCCAAGCAAGCCTTCTTGCGTCCCCGCCGCCCACTGAAGATTTCCCGTGTCCTGACGCGCACCGGCTCAGCCTCTCCAGGGAAACCGCGCCTCCACTCTTCAAATGGTCGGTAAAGATCATTTTGCATCAATCGGGTGGAGATGCACGAGACGAAATTTTCCAGCTAAATCCTCTGGAGCGCGCGCGCAAGGGCCCCCCGAGAACACGCCCGCAGCGCAGTTCCCCCACCCAGCCGGCCCGTAGCGCGGAGTCTGCGACCGCAGACCTGGGCGGGGGCGTCAAAGAGGCGGGAGGGCGGGGCCCTGCGGAACTCTCGTCCAATCGGCGTGCGGGCTGCGGCCCCGTGACCGCTCGCCCAGCCCAGGCCGCAAAGTAGACAGGGCGACCGGAGCCCGGCTGGCGGGGGCGCCTAGCCCTGGCTGCTCCGGAGAAAATGTCTCCTTGGCACGGCGGCCCGCCCCCCCTCCACCGGCTTCCAGCCTGGCCGCTACGGGACCCCGCCCTGCGCTCCGCCTGGACACCGGGCCGCAGAGCCGCCCCCGGCCCGTGTAAAGGCGACCAGGGTCGGCGACAGCAGCCGCCGTCGCCCCACAGAGCGCCCAGGGTCCAGGCCCGCGGTGACCTGCTCCAGAGGCCGCCACCGGCGACCAGCCCGGCTCGCGCTGCCCACGCCCCGGTCCCTGACAATCGCCGGCTCCGCGGCCCTCCCGCCCCTCGCCCGGACCCCGTCCCGACCCGGGGGACGCGGCGTCCCGTGGCTGGTGTAGCTACCTGGATCGAATTCAGGGATCCGGGCTTGGAATTCGGCTCCGACTCTCATCCCCACATCTGCAGCGCGGTGCCAAAAAATAAAAATGAAAAGAAGGGAAAAGAGAGATACTTAATAAAACGAGAGCGTCGCCGGCGGGCGGGAGGTGGTGGTGGCGGTGGCGGTGGCGGCGGCGGCAGCGGCGGCGGCGGCGGCAAGACGCGAACTCCGGGC